CTACGTCTGATGAAGAGTTTGATGGCTTAGATGAGGATACTCTTATGGTTGAGAAGGTTCACACCCAGGAAAGACTTGTGGCAATATGCTAATGATACCATTGTCTTTTTGGAGCATGATTTACAACAAGAAAAGAATCTGAAATTGATTTTATCTGTGTTTGAAAAGTTATATGGCTTGAAAATAAATTTTCACAACAGTGAATTATTTTGTTTTGGCCAGGCAAAGGAGTGTTATGATCAATATTCTAATATCTTTGGTTGTAAACTTGGCACGTTTCCTTTTAAGTATCTTGGTATCCCAATGCATTTTAGAAAGCTTGGTAATAAAAATTGAAAAGTTATAGAAGAAATAATTGAGAAAAAACTAAGTAGTTGGAAAGGTAAACATTTGTCTATTGGTGGTAGACTGGTTTATCATATCCTTTTTTGAGATACCGAAAGGGGTTCTTCAAAAAATTGATTATTATAGATCATGTTTCTTTTGGCAAGAGGATGATCATAAGAAAAAGTACAGACTCACTAGATGGGATATCATTTGCCAACCCAAAGACCAGGAGGTTTGGGGATTCATAATCTAGAAATACAAAATAATTGTCTTTTGAGTAAGTGGTTGTTCAAACTAATAAATGAGGAAGGTGTTTAGCAAGATTTATTAAAGAGGAAATATCTTTATAATAAGTCTATAACTCAAGTTGATAGGAAACAAGGGGACTCTCATTTTTGGTCAGATCTTATGAAGGTCAAAAGTAATTTCTTAAATATGGGTTCTTGGATTGTAAATAATGGGGAAGAAGTAAGATATTGGGATGATAAATGGCTAGGAAACTTGGCTTGTAGAGATAAATATCCATCTTTATATGCTATTGTCCGAAGAAAGACTTCTTCCATTGCTAGTGTCATGGGAACTGTTCCACTTAATGCTTCTTTTAGGAGAGCTTCAATTGGTCAGAATCTTGTATATTGGCATGAATTGTGTGCTGCTATTGTACATATATAGTTGAATCATTCTTCTGATTATTTTAGATGGAATTATCATCAGAATGGTAGATTCTCGGTGAGGTCAATGTACCTAGCTTTAATGAATAATGGCTATACTGATAGGAATAAGTGTATTTGGAAACTTAAGATGCCACTTAACATTAAGATCTTTATGTAGTACTTGCTTAAAGGGGTTGTGTTAACCAAAGACAATTTGGCAATATGGAATTGGAATGGTAGTTTAAGATGTTGTTTTTATATGAAAAATGAGAATCTTTTTATGGACTGTTATTATGCAAAGTTTATATGGAGAGCAGTTAAGTTCTCATTTGGTTTTAACCTTCCTACAAGTAGATCTCATATTTTTGATGATTGGCTATTGGGGGTTGACAAGAAAAATAGTAAACTGATACTTGTAAGAGCATCTGTCATATGTTGGGCTCTGTGGTTGAGCAGGAATGTTATGGCTTTTAACAAATAACCATCTATTACATATATGTAGGTAATTTTCAGGAGAACTCATTGGCTCTGGTTTTGGGAACAACTACCAAAATGTGATGAAATGGAGAATTTCTGAAAGTTGCATGTCGTAATCTTGAGAAGACGGTCATACAACTGCTTGCCAACTATGGATGGAGATTCACAAATAGGCTTGAATAAATGTGTTCTCCTTTTCTCGGTTTAGTTTTTTCATTTTTATGGTTGGTGTGTTCTTTTATTTATGGACTACACTCTATTCTAGGGTAGTACTGTGCTAGTTTGTAATAATTGGCTGTAGCTATTTTGAGTAAAGACCGGGATGTTATACACCATTATGTAAAAATCCGAACACAGACACGCATCACCATGATTCATAAGAAAGGTTCGCTTGCACCTCTCTATCATGGCATCTGTAATAGAGGCAGGTAGCTTTCTTACTCTGATGTCAAGCTGCAGCTCGATTTGGTTTCCTCCATCGGCCACGCTAATCCCACTAGATCAGATGCAGAGCAAGGGAAGTGGTGCCGGACAATCCTCACCAGTCGCCAAGGGAATAATTAACTACTTGCCACTCTTACGAGTGATGCTAAATTATTTACCACTGGATCCACATGTCATAGACATGTGAGAGCTCACATGTCATAGACAGCGAGTGGCGAATAATTAATTGCCACATCTTAAAAGTGGCATGAAGTTAAATGTCCTGTCACCAAGCATGCTGCCCCGCTACCACAAGGATGTGCTTGCAAAGCCCCATTCCAACTAGAATGTGCTATTTGATATTCTATCGACCTAGCACTAGCAGGTTCTGTTTCTAATTTTGATTCATGATCTATATTTTTCTGAAGACAACCTACGAACTAAATATTTAATTTAATTTCCAAATGTTAAGTCTATATGTCCAGTCTACACGTACACTGTAGAAATACTAGCTGATTTTTTGCATATTGAATGTGCTTATTTTTGCCTATTGGATGAGCTCTGTTCCCAACAGGCAACGGCAACACCCCCAGAGTAAAAAAGAGTTGTCTAATGATGATTTTGTGCAGATAACAGAGAGTCAGAGACTGATCTATGTTTTCCAAATGCACTCTATAAACTAATATGTAGTTTTCCATGTGCCATGTCGTATAGCTTACTGTTGATATTCTTTTGATTTTTTTTTAGATTTTGGTCGCCATGTCAATTTAATACAATGGATACATTGACAAATTTAACTTAACAGTCTTTTTTCTTTTACATGCATCAACCGTGGAAAAGAAACACGGAAAGTCAAGGTCAGTGTAATAGAACTCTGAGATGCTATAAATCCCAACACCAACAAACTAAGAGCATCTCTCACAGTCTCTCCATTGCACTCTCCAAGCCAAATTTTAGCAACTTTAAACGAAAAATACACTCCAACAGCATGGCTATTCCACTAGCTAAAAAATAACAATGGTCAAACATGGGCTCGAGCTAGCCAAACATGGCCAGCCTTTGGCCACCCTTAGCCACTGGCCATCTGTGGGCCCCACCATATTTTTCCCCTTTCTTCCCACCAACCGCACACCAGCTCCCTCCGCTCGTGCCTGCCGCCACCATGGGGAAGGAGGCGTGCCATCACTAGCTTGCATCATTCGCCTGAGCTCATCGTCATCGTCGTCGTCGCTGTCAGGAAGGAGCACCTCGGCTTTGTTGCCGCCGGCGAGATGGGGGATAGGCACCGCTCTCCCTCCCCTCTCAGGCTCTCACTTCTCGCACAAGCGCGACATAGATGGAGCCCGAGCTCAGAGATGGAGCGGCGGCAGCGGATGGGGACGGTGCCCGAGCGACGGAAGCGGCGGCGTCGGATGGGGACGGAGCCGGAGCGGCAGTGACGGATGGCGGCGGATGTGGACGGAGCCCGAGAGCGGTGGCGGCGGCGGATGGATTGGGACGGAGCCCAAGCGGCGGCGGCGGATGGCGGTGACGGATGGGGATGGAGCTCGAGTGGAGGCGGCAGATGGGGGCGGAGCCCATGCGGCGGTGGTGGATGCCGGCAGCGGATGGGGGAGGGAGGGCTCGGCATGGCTCTTCACCGTCTCGGCCACAAGCCTCGTTCCGCCGCTGCCATCCTCACGCTCCCGGAACTCAACCTTCACGCGTGCAGTGGCCGTGGCCACGTTGTCGTCGAACCTGATGGCGCGGCCGAATTCGTCGTCACCGTCTTGCCGAGCACCGCGGCGCGGCCGCCGAGCTCAGAGATGGAGCGGCGGCGACGGATTAGGATGGAGCCGGAGCGGCAGCGGCGCATGGCGGCGATGGATGGGGATGGAGCCTGAGCGGAGGCGGTGGAAGAGGGCGGAGTCCATGCGGCGGTGGTGGATGCCGGCAGCGGATGGGGGCGGATGGGGGAGAAAGATGAGAAGAAAGGGTCTTAGAGACTGACATGTGGGACCCACTGTCATACACACAGAATAGAGAGGATGAATGGAGAGACTGTTGGAGTAAACAACGAGTTTGACTTGCTAAATTAGATGAAGAGTTGGCCAAATAGACATTTAGGGAGACAGTTAGAGATGCTCTTAGCTCTCCACATGATACGGATCGATGAAGAGGTTAGTATTTACATTCCTTTCACAAATAATGCTGATATTTATTTATGTTTTAGCACTTACTTCCTCCGTTTCACAATGTAAGACTTTCTAGCATTGCCTATATTCATTTAGATGTTAATGAATCTAGACATATGCGTGTGTTTAGATTCATTAATATCTATATGTACGTGGACAATGCTAGAAAGTCTTACATTTTGAAACAGAGAAACAGAGGGAGTATATTTTTATAGACAAATTAATATGCAAATAAATATTTCAATTTAAATTTAATAACAACGCTATTTGAGATTTAATAATTCCAATTTTTAAATTAATAAATATGAAACTGTACATCTTCATATGAAATTCCAATTAAGATGCCAGACATTCTTTTATACTAACCGATTATATTAGTCATCGGTTAGCTCAAAAAGATTTCACTCGACCGTCGATCGTATAAAATTCCATGTTAAATAAATATGCTATTCAAACAATCATGGACAATTCAATCTATTAGTAGTTTATGATTAATATGACTAATCAACATTAATTTTAAGGGTCCATTTGAATAGCATGAATGGAAAAAATAGATGAATAGAAAAAACGCAGAATTCTGATATGAATGCAAGTGCAAAAGAGATGATTACAAAATACTGGAAAAACACATGAATGACAGTTTGATTGGACCGCAGGAAAAATGTAGAAATCGGACGAGAGAGATATACTCAAAGGAAAATTTCCAAATTTCCAAAGAGGTTAGAACTATTGCTAAATTTTCTCCAAAATCTCTATAGGATTAATCAATCCATAGGAATTCCAAAGGATTTGTTTCAAATGCCTTCATAGCAAATTTTCATGTAGGATTAAAACCATCCAAAATTCCTTTATTTTTTTTCCAAATCAAATGGGCACTAAGTGAATTGTAGGCGATGTTATTGTTATTCTAATGCAATCTAAGCCGCAATATTCTTTTTTTACAAAATTTAAGCCACAATAATTTTAGAAAATATATTTAATACATAATCTAAGTGGCATTTATAATATCAACAGTAACCCGTGCGTTGCCTGGGTTGACGACTAGTATTTGTAATTTTGTTTGGTACACTAGCAGAACCAGAATAATCATCCATTGCACATATATTACAACAAAACACTGATGATTGACCATTTGGGTTTTGCCGCGGGGTATCAAGCTGGCGGCGCCGGCGCAGTCCGGTGATCGGCCGTCGCGGGCGCTTCCGGCACATCGTCATCGTCCTCGTTCTCGCCGGAGAGCTCCTCCAGCGACTTCCCCTTCGACTCCGGCACCAGGAACGTGAAGAAGAACCCGATGACGTTGCATCCGGCGAGGAAGAAGAGCGAGTTGCGCACGCCGATGCCCGGCGGGTAGCCGGCGTCCGTCTTGCTCGCGTCCGTGCTCTGCGCCGCGTACAGGAACCCGAACGACCCGACGATGGCGCCGGCCTTCCCCGCCGCCGCCGAGATGCCGTGGCAGGTGGAACGCAGCCTCGCCGGGAAGATCTCCGCCGGCACGATGAAGGTCGTGGAGTTGGGCCCGAAGTTGGCGAAGAAGAAGGTGAAGGCGTACATGACCACGAAGCCGATGTGGTTCCCCGGCGTCGTCCAGTGGTGGTACGGCACGGCGAGGCCGAGCATGAACGCCGTCATGAAGAAGAAGCCGCCGAGCTGGATGACGAAGCGGCCGATGATGTCGATGAAGAAGACGGTGAACCAGTAGCCCGGAATGGTGCCGCACAGCGCCACGAGCGTCTGTGCCCGGGAGATCTTGAACATCTCCTCCAGGGCGCTCATGGTGTCCGCCTTGGGCAGCCACTGCACCGCCGTGTAGATGTCCTTCTGGAACAGGTTCGACGAGTAGAAGGCGATGTCCAGCACGAACCAGCACACCGTCGTGCCCAGCAGGTGGCGCCCATGGCGTCTCAAAAACTGGCGGGAGAAGAGCCCGAACTGCTCGCGCCGCGCGACCTCGTCAGCCTTCTCCTGCTCCTCCACGATCTCGACGTTGAGCACCTGCGTCATGTCCGCGGCGGCCTGCTTCGCGTTCTTGGCGACCAGCGCGGTGTAGCGCGCCGTCTCCGGCATCTTCATCCGCCAGTAGTAGGTGAGCAGCGCCGGGATGGCGCCGAACATGAGCACGATGCGCCACGCGTAGTCGGCCTGCGGCACGGTGGAGCCGGTCCGGTCGTCCCTGTACGCCGGCGCGTCGAACCGCGACTTGAACGCGGCGGACACGATGATGGCCACGATGCCGCCGGTGAGGTTGCCGAAGCCCTGCATGGCGAACACGGCGGCGATGAACGCTCCACGGGTGCGCTTATTAGCGTACTCCGACATGATGGTCGCCGAGAGCGGGTAGTCGCCGCCGATGCCGAAGCCGAGCCAGAAGCGGAAGAAGCAGAGCGTGGCCATGACGCCTTTCGCCGACGACCCGAACGAGAGGCCGGAAGCGAGGCAGCAGATGACCATGAGCATGAGCGTCATGCCGTACACCTTCTTGCGCCCCATCTTGTCGCCGAGCCAACCGAAGAAGAGCTGGCCGGCGAGGGTGCCGCAGAAGGCGACGCCATTGACGGCGGCGGAGACGTTGGGCGGGAGGGAGCCGGGGCTCTTGGACGCCGGGTTGAAGTAGTAGATGCGGCCGAGCAGCTTGGTGACGAGGGAGATGGAGAAGAGGTCGTAGGCGTCGGTGAAGAACCCCATGCCGGCGATCACGATCGCCGTGAAATGGTACCACTGCGTCTTCGCCGAGTCGAGCGCGTTCAGCACCTTGAGCTCGCCGGCCATGGCGCCAATCTCAGCTACTCTGCAATATGCAATTTTTTGCAGAGAATAACTGAACACCAAGTTTATTATTTCGACAAAATCTCGCTGCAATTTGCAATGAACGAGAAACTAATTATTTGTGAGAATTACACAAACCGCGCGATTAACAGAGCTAATTAGCCTCAGATGTCTATGTGTCGAACTGAGCAAAAGAAAATCTACAGAATGCACGTGGCTACGAGAAGATAATATTCGTTTCAGTTCACCAACAATATGGTCCACTGAAACTGAAACGGAAGTTCAGAGAGACATCTGGAACAGACCATGCCACTACTTCAGAAACTCCTCGTTTATTCAAGGTATCATATATCAAAATTTTGTTGTTTCTTCAAATCCAGCTTTATCAGTCAACAATCCCCGACCCATCCCCGTGAAAAATGTCTGAATTTCGCTAAAAATCCCTACATAAATTCAGTTTCGTGGGCAATTTAGGAGAGTAGAGATGGGATTCTCGTGAAGCTAGATAGCCGGATCCAGGTGCATCTCTGCAACTCAAGATTCGCACCTTACTGTACAACTTTCATGGAACCAGTCCAAATCTGCCGCTATCATCCGTAGTATCCGGACAAACTTCTCGAATTGACGAAACTATATCTTTGTCTCCTCTACTATTTCGTGGCTCAAGCATCGTTTGGTTCAGGTCATGAGATAATATTGCACAGAAATTTCTGAATGTTCATTAGTAAAAAGTTCAGAAAAGAAATCTTGTGGTTGCTGAAGTATGACGAGGAGGGAGACTAGTATGCAAAGGTGTTTTTGTTAAACTGTTCGTGACCTTTGCATGCCGTAAAGAGAGCACAAAAGGTCTCTTCTTGTGATGACTTTATGAAGAACTTTTTCATGGATTCATGAGGGCAACTAATGACCAATCAGTAATTAACACCCTTACACAACATCCTGCCTTGACGCATGTTTCATCAGCAAGAAACTTGTGAACATATCAAAAATTTAATCTCCCATACATGTATGTACTTAAAATTGACATATATAGACATGTCATTAATAGTAGTACTAGAATAAAATGTGAAATATATACACACCTGATATTAATATACCAGTTTCTTCAGGGGAGTCACTGCACTCTGCTGCAGGCCGTTAGCACTGTAACTCTGAAGAACCGATGGCAAGGTACACATGGATGGTATTTATAGGGAGCAAATGACAAAACTAGCTAGAAAGAGCCACGTCATCGCTTCGATTTGTTTGTCTCTCCTAATGCAATACTCCTATAAGAATAAGATTAGTCAAACAAATCACGTACTAATATCTTCGAAATTTGGGCAGCGTACGTGTTATCTATGTTATCCATCTACTACCAGTGATGTTGAATTTGACTTTTTATTGTTTTGTATCATTGGTTTATATTCAGGTTTCTTCTACTGTGGGGCCAGATAGACAAATACAACGATCTCGTTTTTGTCCCCAATTAATGTGCCATTTAGATGCTCGAGGAATCAATAATTTGTCTAGTCAAAACAAGACAAGGTTTACCTATCTCCGTATTCAAGGGATTCATGGTCTTTTAGAGAGATCAAGCTAGAATGAGAGAAAAAGACTATTATCAATTCGACGAGTAATTGGATAGCGTGTGGGTGGATGGGGTAGGATCGGATAAAATGTAAACAAAGTGTGTTCCGAAGGGATAAGTTCTCCAAAACCTATAATCGCTTATATATTTTGAGACGAAGTGAGTATCAAACTGGTTGACATTTCTTAATTTTTTAAGAGAACACGACTTTTGGTACCATTTTTAAGAGCGGGGATTTTTGTTTGTGCATATCAATGCGAAATACAGACGTCGGGTTGATATTCATTAAAAAAAGATTCTATTTGCAACTGGTGTGTAGAAGTAATACTCAACTATGTTCTCGTTTTATTGGACAATTATACTTGTTTAATTAAGTTAACTGTGTACGCCTATTTGTTAGAAGACTGGTTATTTTCTTATGACACTGCACTGTAAAGACAAGAATGGCTTCACTCAGACAACGATACTGATGATTTACACCACTTATTAATACATAAAAAGCCTGTTGCCTCGAAATTTGTACAACACACCAAAACCTGACAGATCTGTTTAGCTATATAGGTCCTAAAATCCGGGTTATAAGACATGCCAGTTAGTTTAATTCTACAACTAACAAGATAGATAGATCGATCGTATAAGATTAACGAGTGATCGGCTAATAGGTCGATGTGTTGTATCGTGGCCAGCCGACGTCAACAACATTTCAATCAATGGCTATGGTTCCATCGGCTAGAACCAAGCAACGTATAATCAGTAATAGATTGTTTCACATTAAAAATAACCTTGATAGATCGGACCAAATCAAGACAGTATAAGATTAAAGTTAATAAAAAGATACTCCCTCTGTTTCAAAATGTTAACACCGTTGACTTTTTAAGTACGTGTTTGACCATTCGTCTTATTTAAAAAATTTAAGTAATTATTTATTCCTTTCATATCATTTGATTCATTGTTAAATATACTTTCATGTACACATATAGTTTTATATATTTCACAAATTTTTTTAATAAGACGAACGGTCAAACATGTGCTAAAAAGTCAACGGTGTCAAACATTTTGAAACGGATGGAGTATCTAACTAGTGAGTATACTCAATTAAACATGAGCCGATGTAACACCCATAAATTATAACAAGATAACTCATTAGCTAGAACTCTTATGAACGTTGTATAAAAACCTATTGACTTAGTAGAATTAAACTTGAGTTAGTAGAATTAAACTTATTGGTAGTAATCTAATAGATCAAACCTAACCAAAACACTATAAAATTGTAGATAATAAGAAAAATTATTTAGTTGAGAGATCTATACAAGAGTGATGGATATATCAGATAAGACCAAAAGATTGAAACAACGCAGCTTTAGCCAAAGCTAGTATATGCAACGATTATAACAACTAATTAGAATATCAGAACGAACCTAGAAAGTCCTACCTAAGCCATACAATTGAAGTTGGTGGAACTTACTTCCATGCCTCATGAAATGATTCATCCTTGCTCGAAACTAAGAACTCACCAGAATTAAAAGGTGCTGATGCGTTGAAAATAATTGTATTGATATGAGAGATAGATTAAAAAACCCTACATGTACATATTTATAACCTTGGGTTTGTAAAATTACAAGTTACACACGAGATAAGATTTCCTAATAAGAAAAGAAAACTAATTAATCCTACCTATTTAAGGCATATACTAAATTCAATCTTATCCATTTCCATCTACCAATTAGTTTATTTCCATAACCGAATCCACCGAACAGTCCTACCAAATTTTGATGTTAACAATGCTATATACTTCATCCGTTTCACAATCTAAGACTTTCTAGCATTGCCCACATTCATATAGATGTTAATGAATCTAGGCATATATATCTGTCTAGATTCATTAACATTTATATAAATATGGGTAATGCTAGAAAGTCTTACAATATGAAACGGAGGGAGTATATTTTTAGAGTCTAGGGTGAGCTGTACCGTATCCTAGATGTTGATTTCACCGAATCTCTTACGGCAGGAAATGCTTAGTACCTAATAGTACCACATCTTCCCCATAGCAGGTGCAGACTTAGGGATGGCACTTTCTTCCACGGGGGAGGGTCCCCTGTGGGGACTCGACCCTATGGGGGCAAGCGCCAATTCGGCCCCGCGGGGTCCCGCATTCGGGCGGGGGAGGGGACATGGTTGACACTCCACCCATGGGGCCCCGGTTGGTATATTACCCATCAAAATAAAGCCCATAGAAACCCAAAAAGCCCAACTTAATGGAAATACTTGAGATATGTAAGCAAAAACCTAACAATCCAACCCTAACCTTATCCTTTCCCAATCCGTCTGCCCCAATCAGCCACATAGGCGGAGGCGGCGCAGGGTGCACTCCCTTTCTCTCTGGATCTCGCTGTCGCCAGTCGCCCTCTCCCATCCCCTCCTCTTCCCTCCGGCCTTCTGTCCTCTCTCCCTCCGATGCACGGGCGAGTGTGGCCGGCGAGGGGCGCGACGCACAGGTGCGGGGGCTAGCGAGGGGCGTAGCGCTGAGGCACGGCGGCCAGCGAGGGGCAGGCACGGCGGCCGGCTAGCTGACAGGCGTGGTGTGCAGGCTGCACAAGTGACAGGCACGGTGAGCAAAATTGCACAAGCGAGCCGCGAACGATTCACGCACTGAATTTTGTTTCTTGCTGAAATTTTTAGATGTTATTCAAGTATTCATGCTATTTTTTATGGTGTGTCAATTATGTATAATATTTGTTCTTGTTGAATTGATGAGTCTCTTGTGTTTTTTTGTGTTGATTGGATGGAGATGCTACCTAATGTGGGCCCCGGTCAGGTTGCAGGGCCCCGAAGGGGTCGAGGACGGGGCCTAATTTGGCCCCGCATCTCCACTCGGGGCCGAGGCCAGGGCCAGGTGGAGAAGTTGGGGGATCAGGGCGGGGCCATTCGAGCCCAACCCATCCTATTGCCATCCCTAGCGGAATGCATGACGATGGTGCGAGGGTTAGACTGTACTTTCGCATACATCGCCGGATTCGAAGCGGAGCGGAACTCGCTATCGGTCTTGACGAATCGCTTGCCAAACCTCATTTTAGTTATATTTCTAACACATTAGTCATCAATCTACTATTAAATAATAAGATAAATCAAGTATTTTAGATAGGAACAAAATCATTTGTGAAAAATCATGTATAAGCATTACCATTTTGACAGTTTCTGATTTTGGCCATACATAAAATTCAATTTTCTTTCTATTTCTTTAGCGTATAATACAGTCTACATTAAATAGTTGAATTGGTAAATATATATAAAAAATCCATTTTACTCACTTCAACTATTTTGGCGAAGCACTTAAACCCCTTAATAAGTTTTCATCTCGTTTTATACCCCCAAACTATTAAAAGTGGTTCTCCTTATTGTGTAACAACATTTCTTATTTTTTTTCATCTCTCTACTTACAAGTCATATACGTTTGTTCGACTACCAATCTTTGTTGTTAACTTTCTCGATGTTCGTGCCGTGCGGTGTTACGCCAATGCTGTGAACCATCGACTATGGTTTATGTGCATTGTGCCATCACCTAATTAGGGCTAACTCTGCCGCCCCATCTGTATTTTAATCATGTGTCCGCCACTGTCGCTTGGTCTTTCAGATGAACGGCGGCATGACGAAGCGGAGGAGCAAGAGCTTCGTGGCGAGCTCCAGCTCGCGTGCGAAGGGCACGTCGAGGAGGCCATCGGCAAGGTAGCCGGCGTCCGCCGTGAACGCCGGCATGTCCCAGATGCATAGCATCTCCTGGAGGTCAAAGCTAGGCCTCCCCGTCTCGTAGCACTGGCCTCAATGAGCGACATGAGCCGGCCATGCACTAGCCAATCGATGTTCCTCGGCAAGAACTCCATTAGTGCATATCGACCTCACCATCTGTCGGCTCTAAATCAAGAGAGCTCCCATATACACAGGGGCGAATCTAGAACAAGATTTAAGGCGTGACTCATCTCCTTTTACTTCTTCAATTCTCCTACTTTTTATTTTCTCCCTATTCTTCCCCTTTCATTTTCCCTTCTAACAATGGTGATCCAGCAAGGTAAGGGTGACTCGAGTCCCCCAGCACCCATGCTGGATCCGCCCCTATACCAGCAGCATTCCTATGACCAAGTGACCTTTTTTTTATCAGCGGTCGACGACCGATGCCGTCCGCGACGAGGGACGGCAGGTTGGTGGCGCTGCAAATCTTTTAGTCCAATCTTACTCCTAGCTAATGGATGGTGAGATTTTATTGGTATCTTATAGTACCTTGTATTCCTGGTGGTACCTCTTCAAGTACGATAAAAAAAATCGTATAATTTTACAGAAATACTTTTAACGTGCTTTACATGGTATATGTTGAAAAGAATAAATTTTGAATGACTACTTTTGATCTTTTCAACTTAATGAATGAGAGTGCACGATTCCAAACTCCTAACCTGTGCGCTTTTGCAAAAACTCTGTATATCAATTTCGTTGTTAACTCATCCATTTTTATCCCTGGATGATTATCACGAATTATCCATCTATAAAGCCATTCAGCGCAAAACAACACACCAGGATCCAAAATTATATGAAGCGTGTTTGATTACACAAATAAAAAACAAATATAGCTAGACACTACCTGGGAGGCTGGTACTGGTTTGCATGCAAAGACAAGCAAAACAAGCCATTAGTTAATTAGCTTATCATATAATAATAATAGTAATAATGATAATAAGGATATATACTCCCTCCGTCCCAAAATAAGTGCAACCATGGTTTTCCGCGCCCAATTTTAACCACTCGTCTTATTTGAAAATTTTTTGAAAAAAAATTAAAAACATAAGTCACGAGTAAAGTAGTATTCATATTTTATCATCTTATAACAACAAAATTACTAATTATAAAAAAATTTTAAATAAGACGGACGATCAAAGTTGGGCGCTGAAACTCATAGCTGCACTTATTTTGGGACGGAGGTAGTACATTTTTCAAACCCTTGCGTGCCCATACGTGTCTCGTGCATTTTCCATTTTATTCTCCTTAGCTGTTGCAATTGTATAAGCTACAGTCCCATGTTCACACCAGGGAATTTATGCAAATCTGGGGAATATACTTCTAGTTAGCTAATTAAGCTAGTATTCTAACTTGAGTGAGCTACCATCCTACGTACTACGGGATAGAGTATTCCTAGCAAACAAGCGTCACAGCGTGTTTCTTGACACGCGTTCTAAGTTGACTATAAAAACGCGGTCTGAATATCTCTATCATTTTTCAAGCGCAGACTTGCCATGACTGACCAAATTGACAATTCATATGAATGAAACTTTGTTCTTTTATTAGAATATCTTCTGTGGTCATGGGCGTAAGCATAATTAAGCATGGATGTAAATGGAGTAATGGACCAACCCATAAGAAGAAAAAATCCAAATGCTACATGATGATAACAAATGGACTAACCCGTAGTTCGTCTGGTTTATACCATTCAAATAAGATAAATGGTCAAAATATATATTACAGAGTAAATTGTATCATCGGTACACAAACTTGTTAGGTGGGTGCAATCTAGTGCACGAATTTATAAAATGCTCGTTTTGGTGTATGAACTTGTCGAGTGCGTGAGGAGAAAGGCAAAAAGGACACTACATGGTTAATCTTATTGATTTGGGGGTTAGTTAGGATACTATGTAAACATATATCTGATATATATTTGAGAAGGTTGCTATTAGACATACACATCTTCAATAAAAAAAGAATATCATAATAGTAGAAAAGGATTAAAAAACCGAGCAATGATATAAGGGTTAGAAATATATGAAATTCATCATTTCCATAACGAAGGATGCACGTTACAAATTTATAAATATTGCATGACTTATACGTACTCATTACACGTATGCACGTTACATCCTAATCAACATCAGCTTCGTAAAATTAATATTGTCAAGTTATTTTGATCCTCACTCGCATGAACTAGATAAGTTCGTGCACTAAAACAAGCATTTTACAAGTTTATATACTAAATTACACACACCTAAACAAGTTTGTGTACCACCAATGCAATTTACTCTATATTAAATGTCAATACGGAGTCATACCTTAAAAAGGAGTACATTGGAACACCTCAAATTCTTCTGAAGCAATTCTAAATTTAATGATCACACATAATTTTCTTTCCTATTGAATGGATTCCGCTGTTTTTTTTTCCCGGAAGAAAGGAGGCATTGTTTGTTTGGGCTCCGGAAAGCATATTCCTGAAGAGAAGTTCACACTTCACATCAGGAGTGTGTTAAGTCCAAGGATTATTACCGTTTAATTTTCTTTTCGAAGTTGATGCATGTGGTGGCGTGGCGGGAAAGCATTTGTACACGTTATGTTGCCGCCTAACTTCAGGTCTACTGCTCACATGTAAATTTTACACATCTTAATTAAATGTATTATGTGTTGGTGCTCGTTCCCATACATTAGTGAGATTTTTGTTAGTATAATCTATATGATCACTGTCACTGTATGACCAATGTTATATTAATTAGCTGTGTTAACCGTGCATGTATGGAAGCAATGACTTGGGTTAGGGTTGATCCCCCTCCGGTTAATCCGGGGGCGGCGAACCTCCCATGGCCTTCGTTTGGATTTTGGATGGAGATGTTCTCCAATCTGCAATTGAAGTTTGCAGGGTTTTCGCCTGCTTTCGGGGTGTGCTCCCTTCGGGCGTTCTTGCTCGGTGTTCCTTGGAGGAAATCGGATCTAGGGTTTCTATGGGGCTTCCAATCTTTGGTTAGTTTATCACCGATCGGACTCGGTGTTGGTTGGGATTCTCTGGGTGGTTGCCATATCGGATTTGGATGTTATCAGATAGGTAGCTGGAGTGGTATTCGGCGATCCTTTTTAGGGTGGTTTCCTTGGTAGGATGATGAGTCCCATAAGAACACGGTGCATCAAGGGTATACCCTAGCATGCTTTCACTCCGGGCACAAATCGTTTGCCTTCTGGGGGTCGTCTACATAGATTGCTTTCCCCTTGCCGGCTTTGCTCTCCAAAACTTGTCCATCGAGTTGTCGATTGGTGGGGGCGATCAAGGGATCATCAATGCAATGATTACCCGCCCGAAGCCGAAAGACGATAGCTTAGCTGATCGGGGGCGCAAGGATTTGGCGATCGTGGAGGTTGAAAGATGACTGCTGGTCAAGATCTGGGCAAAAGTCTTGCTGCCCCTTCAAGAAGTCAGAATTTGAAGGGGGGATGTCCTGCCGAGTACTAGCAGATCAGATGATCTTCCGCAAGGTCCATCAGCGTTTACTGAAGGGGAGATCCCTGAGGAGGAGGAAGAGGTGGTAGAAGTGGATATAGCTGATGATGAGATGAAGCAGGTTGTCCAATGGACAATATTAGCAAGGTTCTATTCCATGAGAGTTCCAAATCACTCAGCCTTGTTTGAAGATATAAGTAAAGCTAGCAGGCGGCGATCAGACATGAGCTATAAATCCCTGCATGATAATCTGTTCATTATCAACTTCAAGGCTGAAGGAGATTACAAGTTTGTCATCCAAGGTGGCCCATGGTTGCACAAGGGTGATGCTCTCCTAGTCGCAGAGTTTGATGGCCTCACTTGCCCCTCGGAGGTGTCTTTGGATGTGGTAACCATCTGGATCAGGATCTATGATCTTCCCCTGGTTTTGATGACAAAAGCCATAGGTGAACTGTATGGGAGCAAGTTTGGAAAAGTGCGAGAAGTGGACGTAGAGGAAGATGGGAGGAATCGTCATGATTTCTTCCGCATAAGGGTGGAGCTGCCCGTTAAGAAACCGCCGAAGTCGAAGATTGCGATCAAGACTACTGTACATGGTGTTGAGGCTGTCAGAAGATTTGATGTTAGGTATGAAAGAGTTCCATTCTTCTGCTTCATTTGTGGTTACATAGGGCACTCTGTGAAAGACTGTGAAAAGAAGATATCAAATATGGATGCGCCGTTTCAATTCTCTGCTGAGTTACGGTGTTCCCCCTTGAAGGCTTTTGAGAGGAAAGTAAGCACTGTCAAAGCAACTGCCCAATCAAATGTTTCACGTAAGCTCATTTTTAGGGGGGGCGGGAGTGCTGCTTCGGCATCTTCCAGGAAGTCTCATAACAGCCATGGGGATGTCGATCTTCCCCCTAGGGTGGATGCACGTGATGACATTTTTATTGCGGGAGGATGCACATGATGACTTGCTACCCAAACAAGGAAGTTGCAGGTTTCAGGCGGATCACCCCGGCATCAGTCGGGTGATATGATCCCGACCATGGCTGAATTACATCAGCCTGCTTCTTTCGGGGACACATACACAGATGAGACTTCAAGTGCTCAGAAGAGAAGAACGCCGAAACAGGGAGAGCCGAAGATCACAGGGCGAGTGCAGCAAGCTCTGCTGGAGTACAAGAAGGATATGGAGGTGTGGCACGAGGACCAAATTGGGTCTGGGTCTAAAGACAGGGCACAAAAGCGTTTCAAAAAGGTTGATGCAAGTGGGTTGAGTAAGGTGGAAACGGAAGCAACCAGCCCCGGGGCTGCTGGTACACCGGCGGGTCCTATGATAGTTGTCTAAGTTGGAACTGTCGTGGCTTGGGGAATGCCACAACAGTTCGGGGGTTAAGTTCCTTGGTCCGGGAAACAGGGTCCAAAATTGTTTTCCTCGGTGAGACTAGGCAAAAGATTGAAAAAGTGAGACGTCTTCGTAATAGGTTGGGGTTAAAAGGCTGTGCTGGCATTAGCAGTGAGGGTATGAGCGGTGGCTTGGCTTTGTTATGGGATGAGTCTGTTCATGTCGAAGTTAAAGGAATAAACGAAAGATGTATTGATTCGTATGTTCGCTTGTCGTTAAGTGATCCCTTATGGCATGTAGCCTTTGTGCATGGTGAACCGCGGGCAGAAAATAGGCATATTATGTGTTCCTTACTCAAAGATCTGAAACAAACTTCTACCCTACCGTGGCTGGTTTTGGGAGATTTCAACGAGACAATGTGGTAGTTTGAGCATTTTTCGAAGAGGATGCGTAATGAGCCCTATATGCAAGCGTTTCGGGACACTTTGAATCTGTGTGAGCTTCGTGATATTGGTTTTAAAGGTGTGCCATACACCTATGACAACAAGAGAGAGGGTTGGAATAACGTTAAGGTTCGCCTTGATTGTGCAGTTGCAGATGACAAATGGAGAGACTTGTTTGCAAATCTGCAGGTCGAGCACATGGCCTGTGTCCGATCTGATCATTGCCCTATTGTCTTGTGCTTTAACCCTGCAGAACAGATTCAGAATCGTCGTAAATGCCTACAATACGAGATTTTCTGGGAAAGAGAACCAGAAAGTTCTGAGGTGATTCAGGATAGTTGGGCTTCCACAGGTGATAAATCAGATTTAGGCAACATCACCAGGTCCTTGGGCAAAGTGATGACCGAGCTTCACTCCTGGAGCAAACGAAAGTGCAAAAATGTAGGAACAGAAATTGAAAAAAGAAGGAAGCAGTTGGCCGCACTCCTAGAGAACAACGCTGAGAGCTCTGCTATCCGTCTTGCCACCGATCAGTTGAGCGAACTTTTGTACCGTGAGGCAATGCTTTGGCTACAGCGTTCCTGAATTAATTGGCTGAAAGAAGGTGATCGGAACACGTGTTTTTTTCATAGCAAGGCAGTGTGGAGAGCAAAAAAAGAACAAAATCACAAAGTTACGAGATCAGGACGGCACTGTTCATTGTTCGACAAAAGTGCTGGGACAGATGTCTACTGAATACTTCAAGACAATCTTCAGTGCAGATTCTAACCTAGATTATTCTAAGGTTAGAATCTAAATGTTCGGTGAATAGATTGAGGCCAATCTTGGATGAGATTATCTCTGTTAATCAGAGTGCTTTTGTCCCTGGATGAATGACTACGGATAATGCTCTCATCGCTTTCGAATGTTTTCATTACTTACAGAAGAACAAAAATCCAGAAAATGCTGCTTGTGCGTATAAACTCGATCTGTCAAAGGCGTATGATCGGGTTGATTGGCACTACCTGGAGCAAGCAATGATCAGACTAGGGTTCTCTCATCGGTGGGTTGGCTGGATTATGGAGTGCATAACCGTGGTGAGATACCCAGTGAAATTCAACGGAACCCTTTTGTCTGCATTTGCTCCAACTCGTGGTTTGACGCAAGGTGACCCGCTATCCCCCTTCCTCTTTCTGTTTGCAGCAGATGGCCTTTCTCTTCTGTTGGATGAAAAGGTTCAGAGTGGTGACATCACTCCTGTTCGCATTTGTAGACAGGCTCCAGGCATCTCGCATCTGCTGTTTGCTTGATGATACACTTCTCTTCTTTAGTGCCGATAACCATCAGGCAGAGGTGGTGCAGGAGGTTCTAGATAACTATGCCCAGAGCACCGGCGAAGTGCTCTGTCATGTTCAGTCCTGCTATCCAAATTCGGTTTGCAATATGATCAGAAGCACCTTGCAAATTACACAAGCTAGTTTTGACGATAAGTATCAGGGGTTCCCAATGCCGGAAGGAAGGCTGTACAAAGGGAAATTCCAAACCATGCAGAGCAGAATCTTGAAACGTCTGGTTCAGTGGGGTGAAAATTTCCTATCGATAGGGGGTAAGGAGGTGCTAATTAAAGCTGTTATTCAAGCAATTCCCGTTTATGTTATGGGTCTCTTCAAACCGCCAGACTCAGTTTGTGATGAGTTAACCAAAATGACCCGTAACTTCTGATGGGAGTTGGAAATGGTAAGAGGAAGTGTGGAGATTATAGTACCACATACCCACACGGCATGATTATCCGACTAGTTATAGGGGATAACTTATATCTATGGAATATGTAACGGATCATGACTTGGGTATTACGTTTCCCTGTATATTATGGAACGGCCTAAAATCCTGGTTTGATAAGATTCTAAAGTAGATCTAGGAAACCGATACCATATTGGTTAAGGTTTCTATCCTATAATCCTGCCCCCCCCCCATCCTATATAAGGTGGGCAGGAGGCCCTCTAGGGGGCATGAGCACATATGATCGTTAGATCTATACTACACCCGGCGGATTCAAATCCCCAAACAGGAGTAGGGTATTACCTCTCATTGAGAGGGCCTGAACCTGTCTAAATCCTTTGTCTCCGCATCCATCCACTTTTAGGTCTCGTGCGCTACCCCCTTTTATTATTGCCGAATTCATGTTTCGACGGTTGACGCGCCAGGTAGGGGTCACGTCGAGGTCCTCATCGACGAGTGTGATGGAACCAATCTCCGATGTCGTTGGAGTCACGAAGATCAATCTCGGCGAGATTCAACGATTTAATCTCCAATATCACCGGCTCATGGATTGGTGGCGTCGCTGTGTAGCCGACTGCTCGTGAGCCTACTCCGCAACGCTTTGGCCGAGTGGTTAAGGCGTATGCCTGTCAAGTACATGGAAGAATTAATCTCGGCGATGGACCTAATCACTGTTGCCGCCGAATTCTCTATTTGATCGGCAAGACCAGCAGCCAATTTTCCAACACTACCGGGTTTAATCTTCCGACGACTCCGCAACCCTGCTGCCGGCGTGTACGTCGACTGATTAATTCGGCGAGACTGATTTTGCCAAGATCAAATTGACCTTCAGGGCTTCAAGTCTGCCGTGGAGCCGCTGCTGCCCTTCCACCTTCCTTATTTATCAAGTCGCCGGAGCCGGATATATAGCAACATGATCCATACACAGAACAGGAGAAAAAATCAAGTTCAACTTCAGTATTTTCTTTTCATCTGCCAGTGGAATCTGTTGCCATTGGAATCATCTTCTTATCAAATCAATCTACAAAGAGACGCCAGGTTTCTCGTTCAAATCTGTTGCTCTGTTAGATTAATTTCTAAATGCAGATTGATCTGCTATGGTATTGCTTTTGCTTGCAGTATCGTCGTCGTTGCCGATCCGATTGGTAGCCACGCGCGACTTTTTCTGGAGCGGCACATGCGCGGCCGAACGGTCTCCTTCAGGTCACGCCGTTTGCTGTCACCGCACGGTTCGATCGGTTGTGCGCCGCGAGCTGCGTGGGAGGTGGCGCTAGCACGTACGCTTCGCTCGACGTATGGAGTTGGTGTGATCGGACGTCTACAGTACAACGGCTGAGTAGGAATCCGTTGCCGACGATTCAGCCGCACGGAGCTGTCGACGATCCAGGCGCCTACACATATGCATCTCGCATGCAAGCTTGACAACGGTCAACCAACAAGAATATTCTATTCAATTGATATACAAGAGCATATACAGTAGCATGCACGCATATTTGTTCTTGTTTTCTAATCAAACTGATTTGCTTGTTCGCATGTATTCACATATCCAACGAGGACACAACTAAAGCTGGGCTCAATTTGACCGATGTGCAGCGCCGGCTGCTTGCCATCTTCCTTTGCCGAAGATGATCTTCTACTTTCATTGCCGGTCGTCTCCGTCATCGTTAATTAGTGCCCTAGCCTTCGTGGCTGACCTATTCCATCGCCAATATATTGATGGGTGTCCACGTCTTCACCATTGGCCCGCTTTCGACGTCGCCGACTGGTGTTTTTGCCTATACGGTCGGTGGACTCCGCCGCCGCTGATGGGCGTCATCGTCATCTTCACCGACCGGCCGCCACGTCTGCCGCCGACTGGTGCTTTCGCCTTCACAGCTGGCCTATTATGCCGCTGTTGATGGACGTCTACGTCTTCATCGACCGGCCGCCTCGTCCGCCGCCGACCGGTGTCTTCGCCTTCACAGCTGGCCTATTATGCCACTGTTGATAGGCGTCTACGTCTTCACCGACCGGCCGCCTCGTCCGCCGCCGACCGGTGTCTTTGCCTTCACAGCTGGCCTATTATGCCGCTGTTGATGGGCGTCTACGTTTTCACCAACCGGCTTGCTTTCGCCGCCGCCGACTGGTGTCTCCGCCTACGCGGCTGGCCTATTATGCCGCTGTTGTTGGGCGTCTACGACTTCACCGCCGGCATGCCTCCGTTGCCGCCGACTGGTGTCCTCGCCTATATGGTTGGTTGGTCACACCACCGTTCATGGGCGTCCACGTTTTCACCAACCGGCTTGCCTTCGCCGCCGCCGACTGGTGTCTCCGCCTACGCGGCTGGCCTATTATGCCGCTGTTGTTGGGTGTCTACGACTTCACCGCCGGCCTGCCTCCGCCGCCGCCGACTGGAGTCTCTGCCTACACGGCAGGCCTATTATGCCGCCGTTGGTCGGCATCTTCGCTTTCACCATCGACCGCCTTCGTCGCCGCCGACTGGTGTCTTCATTGTTATTGATGGACGACTTTGTTCCCACATTGGCCACCTCTGCCATCACCAAGGGGAATATTACAAAGCTAAGTCATCGTTAATTTTCTTTATATGATATTTTTCTTTTCCTCTGCCTCACTATATCAACTGGTTCGCCGTTGACTAGTGAGTCGGGGGCTACAGATGTTATATCATATTTTTTAACAATTTTCATAATATTTATCTTGATTGCTTGCGACATAATCTGAGTACAAAAGTGCCTATCGAGTTATGCAGTTCTATTTTCCTATGCTTTCCGTTTGGTTTGTCGATGGATAGTTGCCTTTGGG